TTGTTTGATCTCAATGATGAAAACAAGGAGCTTGCAATTAAAGAAATCATTGCTGCTGTAAAATCTCAACTAAATGAAAGAAACATCAATATTCCTGAAGAGTGCGTTGCGCAAATCTTATCCAGTGAAGAAGGATGCGACGCCACTGGGGAATCAGTCAAGGACAGTGAAATACCCAGTAAGATAGAAACAGCCACCAAGCAAGCTTTTGCTAATGGACAAAACGTCGAGTTGAAAACAATCCCTGAGGCAAACGATAAAGTAGACAAGACGCTGATGAATGCAACGGGACAAAGCCAAGCCACAAATAATGATTCTCAAGATGCACGTCAGCATCTCCTGGAGGCGAGAGTTCAAAATACTGCCGAGCCATCACGTAAGCCAACCATTTCTCATTCTAAATCTATCAATAACAGAAGCAAGCCTTACCCGACTCAAGCTGCTTCTGGAATGGCGGCTTTCCTGCGTCGTGTTAAAGTGGTCAAGCGTGATAGGCTTAGAACACTTCAGATATCAACCCAAGTGAGTCAAGGTGATAACGACGCTGATTCAACTAAACCAGTGCCTGCTTTGCCACAAACTGTGCAACAACGTGAAGTGGTATCCTTGAAGTCACTGATTGGGAATACAAAACATCATCCCTCGAGTAAGTCTGATCTATCCATAACGATTGCTCCATCTGATGCTGAAGAACGTAAAGTGGTTTCCTGGACACGAAACAAGAAAGAACCTGATGTGAAAGGCAGTGAAATGAATCTCTTGAAGTCAAGGACTCAAAGTAAAGACGCAGATGGATTAAGTAAATTAACTTCATCAACATTATCTGGGTCTGGTGCTGCGAACAAGCGTGTGTCCTTCGCACAGAGTGAGACACCTGAGCGAACAACCAGTTACATGGCGTCACCACCAACTGTCACCACCAAATCCTATGTTGCGGAGAAGCGCAATAAAGTGATATCCTTGAGGTCTGTGATACAAAGCAAGAAGGCGGATCCAATTAGCAAGCCTTTTTCACCTGATTCACACGTTGGCAGCATTCAAGGGGCCTCCATGAAGCCATTGAATCAAACTATGAGGTCAGAACAGATAAGCAAGGCTAATCTTGAAGAGGGAAACAGTAAACCTGCACCCCTGAAGTCACCGACTCCAAGTCTAACGGCAGATTCAATGAGCAACTCTATTTCGCATTTACCACTTGTTTCCTCTGTTGAGGAAAACAACGAGGTGGTCTCATTGAATCCTTTGCCCAAAGGTACAAACACAGAAGCATCAAGCACGTCGATACATTCTGTAGTTCCTGCATCATCTGGTGTGCAGAATACCAAGGTACTTTCCTTAAAGCCTTTGAATCAAAACACTTGTAAGAAGGATGAACAAGTAAAGAAGTCAGTACCATCTTTAAAACAAGTTTCTTTTGATGTGGAAGATAGCAAAGAAAGCTCCGGGCTGGTTAAAAGCAAAGTTGTTTCGTCGACATCATCGATAACCACACAATGCAAGAAAATTGACTTGTCGAAAGAGCCGGTATTATCTGCCCAACCAGTTAGTTCTTCTAAAGTAAAACCCAGTTCCAAAAAAGACTCAGTAAACTCATCGGGACAACCTAAAACCGCGAATCCACTCAAAGAGTCCTCTCCATCCAAGTCACTTTCTGTTGTTAAAGTGGAAAAAAGCAGAATGGTGTCGTTAAAGTCATTGACTCGAGGTAGCAAATCTGACCCAATGAAAAAGGTTGTTTCTTCACCACAAGTTTCTACTGTGGCAGAAAGCAGTGCTAGAAAGGTTACCTTCAAGTCAACCAATGTAGAAGGAAAGGAAATTGTATCAAACAAGTCTTCCTCGTCTAAAGCACAAGTTTCTAACGATAAGAAAGGCAAAATGGTAGTCATGGAGACGGCATCACATGATTCGTGCGTCGCAGATCCTGGCAGTGCCAAAGAAGTAATGCTTGGTCCAACATCACAGAAGAAAAACCTGACCAAGTCTGCTACATCGACAAAAGCTGTTTCTTGCAAGAGAGACACCAAAATGTTATCCTTGACGTCGGTATTACAGAGTGAGACTGAGAATGGTCTATTGAGCAAGGTTGCTTTGTCAAAATCACCAAGTTCCTGTGATGATCGTAAAGTCGAGACGAGTGAACTTATGTCATTACAGTCTGTGACGAAAAGTGAGAAGGCAGTTCCAGTGAACACATCACCTGTGACAGTAAAAGTGAAAAACAACTTGGCTTTGACTCCCAGTAAGATTGCACATGTAAAGAACGATGGTTCTGCTGATGGACAACTTTCAATCGCTGAGCCTTCCAATTCTGGTAAGTCAGTAGAATTACATCACATCCTAAATCCTTCAAGCATTTGAACGTGACAATCTTATTATTTTATTTTATTGTTATAATATTGAAAAGTCATGGATTATAAGTTTATATTCTTAGATAACAAGAAATAAATACAAACACCCAGATGCGCATTAACTGCCCTATAAATGTAAACACCGTAGGTATTCGTTGTTTTCAGTAACGATAGCAGTGTTCTTTCTGTCTAGCTAACTTTATTTACAACAACAGCACGAAATGGAAGATGAATAGATATTGAAGTACAAACATATCTATTCATAAAATGAAATGAACTTTGACCAACAGCTCATTTCATTTTGGGAATAAATATTTCTACCCAAGCTAGCCCGAGACCAGAACGAACTGCACCATATTTGCTTCTCTCTCTTCTCTATCCAAGAAAAAGCATGCATTTTTACCATATCTGTTATGCCCATGCCACTTATTTGTTTGACTTCTTGAACGAATTATCATAATTTGTTTCTTAATTCATCTTACAGGGAAGCGCAAATCATTCCAAAGCCTCACTTCGTCACATAAACGAGAACTGGATGAAATGTTGGAGGAAGATCAGCAGAGTAACATAGAACGCCTGAGACAATTTAACAGCAGAAGAAGAAAGCCTACCAGTGGAATACGCAGGAAAACAGACGTAAAACTCAAGTCAGTGAGCAACAGTGATGGAGCTGATTGCAATAAAGACAGCGAGGCGAACAAGAATGTCAAGTTGGTCAAGACTGATGTTGTACAAGATACAAGCGTCGCTAAGCGCAGCTTAGCAACTACAAAACGGCTTGAACCAATATCACTTACTGTTGACGTAAATACAGTAAAGGATGGAAAGAATGAGAGCATCCCAAAGTGGATACCAGGAACACTGGAAAAGACAAAACCATCACCTGAAGAAAGGGTTACTGTTCCTGATGTACCTAAACATAACAGCAGTTCACAGTCCAGCCAAGGGACTTCTCAGGAGTTCAATCTAACCCCTCTTATTGCTGTGAAGACAAACGACGTGAATGCTAGTGGCGGCAGCGCCATGTCGATGAGTCCAGCCGTACCAAATCCAAAACCCTTACTTCGCGCAGTTGCAGAAGGAAAAACAGCAAATACGGGCGACAAAATTGTCGCACAGTCCAGCCAAAGCATGATTACGCCCACTAGAACTGAGCCATTGCTTCTATATGACACAGAGACTGTCAGCAAAGATGCAAGCAATACAACTGAGTCTAACATGGCAAAGGACAGCTCAGAGAAGTCATGCTTACCTCAGCCAGAACAACGTTCATCGTCAATGGATTTGGCAAGTATCGCTGCAAAACGGTGGAGCATGTGAGCCTTTATGCTTTGATCTTGGGTCTACAAATGTTTTAAAGCACGTTTCATATAGACGTTTAATAATGTTATCATTCGTTGTTTTTATATAGGTTAAAGAACCATTGTGCCTAGCTGGAGTCGTTGCTATTTTTGGTGAAAACAAAGCAAACAGTGAGCAAATGCCTGAGCCTCTGCCTGGTGAGTAAGAAAAGACAGAACTTTAAAACAAATAATCCGACTTTCAAAAGGAGGCAATATTATACAGATAGATGTGTTCCCATTAAGATCTCGTCACGTGTCATTCCCTTGATCCGTTTTATTTTTGGTTATAACGATTTTGGCAAAATGTCAGTGACCGAGTTCTACTTAAGCCACTTTTCATCTCTGTTCTATTTTATCTTTCTTCTCTAGTTCCACAACCAGTAGCTGAACATGTAACACTAGGAAAAAGAAAACTACGAGACATGCAGGATGAGGATGAGAAAATACCCACTTGTGTTGAGAAAGAAGCAGGAGAAGTAAGAAAGAAACGGTGCTGGAGAACAGTAGATAAAACACCAGAAAATCATGAGCAACCAAACAAACCACGGCGCTTGGTCAGAAACACATTCAGAAAAGGCTGAGGCAAAAACAAAAAAACAGAGACGTCAAAAAATAAAATTAAAATATTGAAAAATATTTTGAATTATGTAGATATAAAAACATATAAATGTAATATACGTACATTGATTAGAGTGAAGTCATTAAACCCGTGCAATAGATATTAGACTAATACACTTTAGTAGACCCTAATTCCATTGTTTTCTTGTGTCTATTTGACTATTACACGTTGACTAGTAATTTTTATTTCACGGGTTAAATGCCTTCACTCTATCAAAAAGTCAAATCTAAAACTGGATACCAGGATCACTACTACCGTACCTCACCCTCCTTTTATTATAATTTACCTCTACCAAGGGGGAGGAGGTGAGGAGATTCTGCTAATCAATACTATACCTTATCAAGCCTTCATTGTAGGATATTTCACTGAAAATCAGTAGAGTGCGCGCACTAAACCTGTGAACAATATTTAGTACTAATAAATAGTAATTCATGCAGAATCCCTTTGTTTCCTATTGTTTGATTATCACTATTTAGTACTAAAAATTAGTATTTGTTTCACGGGTTTAGTGCGAGCACTCTAATGCCTTAATTATCAGGGGGGAAAAACAAAATAGTTGTTTATGATTTAAAATTGGCTTCAATTATTTGCAAACGAATGCTACTTTTCAATGAAATATCCTAGATAATAATTTCACATTGTAAATATTCGTAGAAAAACGAAATAAATATATTTGTAAAAATCCAAAACCGTGCAAATGATTTTTATTAGAAATCTCAGCTTTCCTTACTTTACATTTCTTTTTGTCCTTTCGCTCTCTAAATTTTAGACCAGGATGCAAAAAGTGAATATCTTACAAATTACTAAGCTCTAATGGTAGTTTAAGCCTGTGAATTTTGCTAAGTTACAGAAGGAATCCCTGATCCCTGACCATTAGGCCTAGGGTAAACGTCGAACTTTCCATGCACCGAACTTAATTACATCAAAGAATGCCGCCTCATTATTACCTCATATCCATTGTTTTTAATGAGTTCGGTGCATGGAAAGTTCGACGTTTGCCCTAGGCCTTATTGAATCCCCTGTCAGTAGTAAGATCTTATTTACATCGTTTTCTTTAGTGCCCATTTTACTATTATACACAAACTTCTAGAAAGTTTTTCTCAGTCTGAGTAAAAAATATGTAACTATGTATTTTATTCCTTTTGGAAAACAAAACATAAAACCTATTCCCTATAGAGGTTTTGCACCATCCCATAATACTGCTTGGGCTTCCTGTGGTTAGATGGCAGAACAATAAAATCCCTTTGCTCTGGGGAATTTTATTCTTTCTCAGGTAAAACGATTGTATTGTTCTTGCCATCTAACAAGGCTGCTATCACGTGGTGGTGCAAAACCTCTATTCATGTTTAAAAAATACCCTTCAGAGTAAACTTCAGTACCTCCCTGAAAACAAGGGGGATAGGGTAAGGCATTCGTCACTACTACACACTTGTATTCAGTGCAGTTTGATAGACTGATGATGTCTCACATTTCAGTATCTCCCTGACTGCCATAGTGGCATAACACGAGGGGGGTAGGGTGAGTTCTATTTGTAAGGCTACGTATTGTCCATCTGCTGGTGTTTCTAATGCTGTCTTTCCATTCACGCGGTCCATATCTGTCAGCACCAGTGGTTCTGTGGGATTGTCGTACTTCAATAATCGCCAACAAGTATTCTTAGGCTTGACAACCACATGTCTGTGGTGAAATAATAAAGTAAAATAATGGTTATTGTAATTTGTATTTTATGAAAAAAAAAATTAAAATGCTTGCTGTGCTGTGTGGTGGTTATAAAGCACTTGGGGATGTGCAGCAGAACACTAGAGAAGTGTGGAGAATCACTTCACTATGCGTCCTGCTTCTCCTAACACTTCTCTCATGTTCTGTTAGCTCCTGTATGCTTTACTGCTCATATTTTCTATTTTTTCACTAACCTGTATGTACCAGACAACGAGTAGTCCTTAACCCTATGTCTTAATCCATCTATATCAATGCCATCCTTATCCATAAGTTCTTTATAGACTTGCTTGCTGTTATATCCTGGATATGTGACATCATAGCCAGGTAACGGCATAATGATGTTATGGATTGTATATGTCCCAGATTTTATGTCCTCTGAAGTAAGCATGCGTACGAATGTACTATTTGATGTTCGAAGTGTTTTGACTGTGTCATCCAGGCACTCATCTGAAAACAAAATGGATTTAAGGTACAATAAATAGAGTTTTGTTTTACCTGTAAACACTTTATGTGGGAAGAAAAATTTGGGACAGTGAAACTTAGTAGCTTATAACGAAGGGTGTCACTAAATAGAAGTATGTTTTACAGTTAATATTGAAATAATTTTTTAGGACAGTGCATATAGCTGTGCGTTTAATGAAGATGTATTCTGAATAGATGTTTGTTTTAAGTAAATATGGGAAGAAAAAATTGGGGTCATGCAACTAGCTGTTTGTTAAATGAAGGGTGTCTACTGAATAGAGGTTTGCTTTACAGTAAACATGGGAACAAAATCTTGTGACTGTGAAACTAATTGTCCATTAAATTAAGTTGTCCATTAAAAAGCAATCTGTCATTCACAACTCAATGTAATGATTATGTTCACATAGAAAGGGCACTATAAAAGTCATAAATCATCATAAATGAAGGGTGTCCGCTGAATAGAAGTTTGTTTTAAATATGCGAAGAAAATTCCGGCACTAATACAAATGCAGCTATCCAATTAATGTTTTTTCTCCTTGAATATGTATCAAAAGCAATGCAAACAAAAAGCAAGCACACAATATAAGAGTCATGGCTACATGTTCAAACTTTTTTTTTCTTACCAAGGATTTCAGTCTCATTGCTATCAATACTCGTGGATGATTGGTTGTCTGTGAATACTAAGTCACCTTCTATAGGGACAAGACCAAACTCCTGTTAAAATAAGTATGGGTAAATGAATGGTTAACAAACTATTGAATTGGCACTTATAAATAGCCCTTTCTGATATTTGCTGGAGTTTTAAATTTTATTCATTTCTGCAAGTGGCACAAATTAACAAACAAGGGTGTGCATTATATTCACTTGCAGGTGAATATAGCAGCTTACTTCTCAATAAGCCTTTTCATAGTTTAAGAATCGATTCCACTGTGCATGCGATTTTATTCCGAATTTCTCACCTTCTTTTGTTTAATTAAGAACAAAAGAAGGTTTAGACAAAAGAAGGTGAGAAATTCGGGATAAAATCGCATGCGCAGTGGAATCGATTCTTAAACYATGAAAAGGCTTATTGACACAGTTTTCTTTGTTATTCACAAGGCTTTATTTTTGTTATAACCCTCATTATAAATGTGAGGTCAATATATAGTTAGTTATTAGCCCGGTTAATAACTATATATAGACTTCACATTTATAATAAGCAGCATTAGATAGAAAACCTTCTCAATTGATAAATAAAATACTTATAATTACCTCGAACGTCGGCAATAAGCCTATACATTCCTTGGGCCTGTGGCTTATTAATATGGCTTATTGCCTCCGTTCTCGGTAATTAACTCTTACATAAAATGTAAATTGTGACCAATGAGCGCGCCGGATTTATTATCTTCATTTGCGTAAAAATACTAATATAATATTATTTCCTTTTAGTTCCCTCTCTGTAACTTACAATGTATGACTACATTTTGTTTTCTATTTTGAACAAAGCAAAATGGGACCTGGAATCATTGCTTTGTGTTTACTCAAGCAAATTTGAAAAAAAAAAAGCTTATTAAAAAACGAATGCTTGTGAGGAATCTTGCACAAAGGTTGTTGTATATTTGTCCCTTGGTAAGCCCAGTCTAGAGCAACAAACAGCACATCCTCAAAAGAAGCACCTGAGCACAACTTTAGCGGACAGCATGCCAAAGACCTGAGGAGCTCAACAAGAGGTGTACTGATCTCACACACCCATGACTCATGCACTTCCAATATGCAGCGGTAAAGCTGTTGAATGCCTTTGAGACACATGGACAGACAGACACACGCATGTGACAGCTGCTATATGTCAACGGCATTCTAGAAGTGGATCTAAGGAAGTGTGTACTAACATTAATAATGATAATGATGATGATGATGATATCTCAATGCGCTTTACATTTATGACCAGTGGAGGACTTTACGAGCTGCGTATTAAGGCGATATTAGCAGCCGTCCAGCTTACAATCATGAGCGAGCAATTAGTAGATTAGAGTTATTTCACTATGACGTCACATCAAAACAATCTATTGTTTAAATGCAAAGGATCATGGTCGTCCGAGGGGGTCAAACCAATACAAATTCACCGAAAATTGTTCTAAAACCTGTATCGATCCATGAAGAGAAGTAGAATAGCCAGCAAACTCTCAGAATATTTTTTAGTACATATTAACACATATTATATCTGAAAACCAGGCCATTTTAGATTAAACTGTTTCGCTTGGAGCAAATTTTATTGAATTTTCTTTTGGATTTGGCGATTCTATCCCCCACATAAACAAGCAGTGACGTCATAGTGAAATAGGGAAACTGGGATAGGCTGTTGAAGCAGGAGACAATTCCCTACTCTTACATGAATAATTCAACAGGTTATTTTTTGTCCCTCTTTTTATAAATAATTAATAATAATAAATAATTCAGTCATTATCCTAAATACGAGGAAGCCCTGCATACCTTGATACGCCAAGAGACCACTTGATTCCAGATGTAACTTTGATACGAATGAACATACATCAACCTAGTGTTCCTGGGAATAAACTGCAAAGCATTCACTAGATCCTTATTGCCATGTTTTGCAAGTCCTTGCAAGAGATTACTTTCAATGCTTCTTTGCTTGGCAAGTTTCTGAGAGGCTTTAGCAGCATCACCAGTATTCTTCCATAGCAGTAAGGCTTCATTGAAGTCCTTGGTTCTTCCAGACTTTGGGCTGAGGATGGAGTTCACAGCCTTCATCCACTGGCTTAGGATTAGGGCCTTACCTATGGAAAACAGGAATCTTAACCAAAAGAACTGTGAACTAGGTAGTTACAAGCTGTGCACTAAAATGTGATATTTTGCTGCTGTCAATGCTGTCAAAAATAATCAGTTGATAATTGTAAAAAAGACAAGAATCACTTTTGTTTTTTTCACAGCCTTCATCTACTGGCTTAGGATTAGGGCCTTACCTATAGAAAACAGGAATCTTAACCAAAAGAACTGTGAACTAGGTAGTTACGAGCTGTGCACTAAAATGTGATATTTCGCTGCTGTCAATCAAAAATAATCAGTCGATAATTGTAAAAAAGACAAGAATCACTTTTGTTTAAGTGTCTAGTCGTTCTAGCACTTTCGCACTAATTGGGAAAACTTTTCGCTCACACACACTACCACTACATTCAATATTCTACACACACAATGCTCAGCTCACAGCTAACTATTTCTATGTGTCTCTTACCTGTGTGGTGTGTAGGAACTGCTGTAGTCCCAAACCTCTGTAGACCATAATAATTAATGAAGCCAACATTGATTAAAGAGTTCATAGCTTGCTCAATATTTTTTGTATTCCCTGTAACATTCCTCAGAGTAATGACAAAATGGTTTCCCGAGAGCTGTCCCAAGGTGAGCCGATCTTGGCAGTATTCAAAGTTTCCTACTGTCATACCTCTAAGAGTTTTATTAAGTCCTTTCAGTCTTTGCGCCTGTACTCTGTATGCTCTTACTTCTTGGACAGTAACCCCTCGGCGATCTTTAGTCCCAGCATACCCAAAACTACTTGGCTTAGCGTGGACAAGTTTTGATAGTAAATTTATTGCCTCCATTGTGTCTTTGTTTTCTTTGTAGAGAACAAACYTGCAGTAATCACCACGAGATGCTGGCCATTTTTCTTGACGCTTCTTTGCAGGGTTTCCATGGTAACGGAAAACTCGGACTGCCTTATGTTCATCGACTGTTACAGTTTCAGTATCTACAAGTAGGAATATGCCAATGCTTTCACATTTTGGTAAAACAGATATGACAGTTTCTCATATTTTGGCATATTTTCATCTAAATAATATATAATTAAATGATAACTGTAATAGAGAATCAAGGCTAGTGTAGAAGTAGTGCACACACCCCTGAACTTTGGGATCTCAGGTTCGATTCCTGGACCTGAAGTTATAAAAAAGACTAAAAAAAAGAGAGAAAAAAACAGAAAACTTGTCATCACTTATTAACGCGAGTGAAGTCTGTTTGGTCTCTCCTTTGTTCTCTTTCCAGAAAACCCTTCCTCAGATCATGTTTCAGGGTTAGATCTGTAAGTTAGCCATGCCCTGACTTAGATCAGCCCAGAGGTTGTTTCAGGATTTGATCTGTGAGTTAGCCATGTCCTGAATTAGATCAGCCCAAAGGTTGTTTTAGGGTTTGACCTGAGAGTTAGCCATGCCCTGACTTACATTAACCATCTGTACATCAACCAAGAGGTTTATCTAGTGTTTGATCGGCACTTGTAAGTTTATAGTTGTTTCATGACTTTGGTCAGCTTATAGGTTTTGAAAGTTTTGAGGTTTCAAAAACATGAAAACGGTATCAATATAAACAAAGCAAGCACACTAACCTAAACTAGGAAATTTTTCTTTGATACATCGATGAACTTTACTCCTATGATCCTTGTCATCGTCATAAGATAAAATCGCATTAAATGTTATATCTTTGCTGTCCAACACCGACTTTACCTTCTCTAAGTCCTCCTCAGATAGAATATCCTCGCTGCTCTCTTGTTTTGACGCGTTTTCTCGAGGAATATCAGTATTTGTTAACTGCACTAGATTCCCCTTGGTATCTCGCTCATTGACTAAGAAGTCTACATATCTTTGCTTCAAGATGCCTTGAAAACCTTCATGTTTGCTTAAATATTCTGTTATTCCAACGTCTTTTTCTGCCGTATGGATTGGGATTAATTCATCATCGTTTGATAAAGAATTAGCCTTCAAAACTTCGGCATCAGACTTGCTTCCAAGTTCAGCTTCTGAAGGAAAATTTCTGCAAGTTTCTGTGCTATCTTTTTGCTCGTATTTTTCATCTTCGCCATCGTTAGCAGTATCAATAGTTTCCACATTATCCTGGTTTTGTATTTCTTTGGTTTTTGCTGCGTTTTGGGATGAATTTTCACATAATTTTAAGCGTTTACAAGGAGCACCCGAAAGTAAATCTTCTTCCTCCATTTTTTTTGCTTCTACACGTGGGACCTCGCTTGGAACCACAGGAATCCCAAAACAAGTAGTTCTAACTTTATATTTGTTTGAAATTTGTTTTTCTTTTTCCAGAAACCGTCCGAAAAATAAAAAGTTTCAAAATTGATACCTCAAAAAGAAAATTCTGTTTTTTCAGATATGGTTTTTTTAACTTTTAAAATCTAAATGAGACTCAATTTTTCCTTTTTTTCCTGCCTCACCACAGGTAGCCCGCGCAACCAAAAGATTCCCTCTGCTTTCAGGTTTCTTCAAACAAATCAAAAAAAGACTTGAATAAATATTGTAATCATCAAGAATGAAGAGGGTCCAACAAATGTGACGACAAATAATCTATATTTTGATATATTATCATGAATTTGATTTAGTTTTATAACAAGTTATTTGGGTTCCCTGTGGTATCATCAGTGGACTGTTCCATGATGCGTGGACAATTTTTATTGAGAGCATTTCTCATATTTTTTCTCTCTTTCTACATCGTCATGGCCTCAAATACTATGCGAGCTGTGCTTTACGAACCAGGAGGACCAGAAAAGATGACAATTGGTGTTGTTCCTAGACCCAAAACTGGTCCAAAGATGTTAGTTATTCGAGTTTTTTACACAGCCTTGAATAGAGCTGATACGCTTCAAAGAAAAGGCTCCTACCCACCTCCCCCTGGGGAATCTGAAATCCTAGGACTTGAAGTAGCAGGACTAGTAGAAGAGATTGGATCATCTTGTAGTCTAGGCTGGAAGTAAGTTGAGAATATATTTTGAAAATGGTTATTTTGATCGATCTTACTACTATTATTATGGTTTTCAGTTGCACACCCTGGACTATACCCTTCTATGCACTTGAATCATATTTTCTAGTTTACACACAATTAATGAACCTGTCAATGTTAAATCCCAGGGGGAGGGGGAGGGGGGTCAGGGTCAGATGCAGTGGTGGTAAAAGAGTTGACTAGTAACCTCCCAGTTTTGCCCAAATTTCTTCTATATCCCTATATAGTAACAGCTGTCACCCCCCTTTTCCTCGAATTCCTGGTAAAACCTTTAGTTACCACCCTTCTAAAATTCCCGGATCCACCCTGGGGGCCACCCTTGGGAAATTGACGTTATACAATGCTCTATACACTAGGGTCTGTTTCAAGACGTGTTCGTGTTGGTGGGGAAATAGTTATGCGTCTTTAATCAAACAATCACTTCTCTAAGTATCTAATTACAACTGCGTAAGCTAATATTGTAACAGGGTCAATTTGATGTCGCCTCCATCTTGAAAATGTTGGAAAATACAATAAACATATACTAAAGTTGGAAATTTGAATTTCATCAGTTGCATGTCCGGGGTTGGAAAAAATATGAAAATTCAAAATTCAAAATGTCTCCCCCCCCCCCATGGCCCCATGAGGCTAACATTAATATGTCATGTAGGTGCATATCAAATAGGATATTTGCTACTATCGGCTATGGCATAAGACTAAAGAAGTGACCATTGCTGATCCTGTACTTGGTTTGCCAGAAGCTTTATGGATTGCACGTGTCCAATAATAGCCTACAGCTTATGATACACAGACATCAACCTTAGGGGCTGTCATGCAATGTTTCCTTCAAATATTGCATGACTGACCCTAAGGATGTCTGCATTAAGGAGGCTAGTATATATGTATCAAAACAGAAGCTCCTTCTTTCACATCTTTCAAGCTAACGAAGGGTGGTGAAAGAATAGGCAGTGAAAGAGAGAGGAAAGATCAGCTTTTATTACTTTCCATTTCTTTTTTCTTTTCTTTCATTGCTTTATATAGTTAGCTCAATGCCCATTCTTTTTGTAAATATCGCCCCAGGATTGATGGTCTTTTATACTTTTGGAAGTCTAAGATATATTTTCTTTGTTATAACCAGGAAAGGAGACAAAGTGATGGCTCTTGTTCCAGGTATGTTTATTAGGGTTTGCATATAGAAGTTGATTTATTATGATCAGTTCGTACACTCTTTTGTTTTAGTTTTAGTTTTAGTTTTTTGTGGTTTCATATAGTTTTCCTTTTGCCATGCCTATATTAGTCTCCCTCGCACCCGTTTTTAGTGTCAGTCGTCACGCAACGCTACGTGACGACCAACACTAAAAACGGATGCGAGGGAGACTATGCCTATATCTACGTGTATAGGTTTTTTGTTTTGTTTTATGTTTTTTTCTTTTTATTTTATGAAGATCAGTTAGTGCACTCTTTTGTATGGTTTGGATCAATGCTTGTATAAATATAAAATATAATAAGTGTATAAATATATATTTGAAGATTACATTAGTGGTATTAGATTTGATATTTACAAGCAAAATGTATAGTACAAAAGATAGAAGACATTTACATATGTACACAAAAAATATAAATATATAGATATACAGAAATACAAAGTATTAATTGAAAGAATAAACAAGCAAAGGTGCAGCTGTCTGGCCTAGAATAACTAAAAAGCTAAACTATAGCTAGGCCACAGACAAATTATTGATCACCATCGTCATTTGCAATTGTCATTATCAGTCATCATTATCATTAACGCACCATTATAAATTGTATGATTTATCATTTCCTTGTCTTGATAACTAACACACATAGGTGGAGGATATGCTGAGTATGTATTAGTCCATGAAACCCACGTGATGCCGATACCCACTTCCTACAGCCTCTCAGAAGCCAGTGCAATACCAGAAGTATGGCTCACTGCATATCAGCTTCTACACTTCATTGGAAAAATAAAGCCTGGGGAAAATGTCTTAATACACGCTGGTGGAAGTGGTGTTGGTACTTCATTGGTGCAGCTGACAAAGCTAGCAGGAGCTAATGCATACGTGACGGCAGGGAGTGAGGAGAAGATAAAGACTGCAATTAGTCTTGGAGCAAAGGCTGGATTTAATTATAAAACAGGAATAGACTTCTCTCAGTGGATCCTTGAGCAAACTGAAGGTAAAGCCTGGTTTTCACTAGCGATGTAAGCAGAAACGGAAGCAGAAGCATAAGACGTCTAAGCAGAACATCGCCGGAAGCATAAGCAGAAGGAACAGAAGGTTTCATTTTTCTTCTGCTTCTGCTTCTGCTTCCATCCTTACGTCGCTAGTGAAACCAGATTCTTATGCTTCCATCACTAACATACAGAAGCACAAGGTGGTAAGCCAATCAAATTCTCGTACTCAGTCCCCTGCACACATTGGATTCTTGCATAATCAATGGCTTCCTATTATCTTTCTTATGCTTCTGTCATATTCATTTTCACTAGAACATAACGATCTTATGCTCATGCTCATGCTTATGCTTATTCTTCCGTTGCTTATGTCGCTAGTGAAAACCAGCCTTAAAATAGAATTGTTTTCATAACATAGTAGTCTTTGCTCTAATTCTATGCATAGCTTAGTTTTATCGAACGCTAAAAAGACCTCAAAGCATTGCTAACTCCCAGAAAATTACCATACCTCCTCAGTCGCCAATAAGGACTGGAACTCATCCCTGTGTAGATCAGTGGTTAGAGCATTTGACTGGTATCTGGAAGGTCATGGGCTTGCTCCTTATCAATGACTCTGATTTTCCTGAGTTCCTATCAGCTAGTGAGCAATGATAAACTAATTATATAAGGACTGGAATTAATTTCCAAGTTGTGTAGATGGATCTATAGTAGGTCTAGTGGTTGGCTGTAATATTGCTTACTATCAATCACATGACCTTTTGGAGTTGACTGGGGGGCAAACAAGCGGTTGACTGGGGGGCAACTAGCAGATGCTAAGTCAAAACATATCAAATAAGTCCTCAAACTATTGTATTTGACTATTTCTATGACATCAAACCAGAAAACAAGAGATCAAAACAACCTCCAGGATTCTACAAGCCATTAAAAAAGAGCTATTACTGGAAGTGACGTCTATTGATAGCAACCTATAATAGTACTAACTTATAAACACAACAAAAACGATAATAATTTTATTGAAACCAATTTTAAGAAGACAATACACATAAAGTTGGAAGAAGCTCATTTTGAACTTAAAAGGTGTTGGATTCCCTGTAAATAGCAAAAACTGCAAATCAAAAAAAAGTATGAAACTAAAAAAATAATCATTTGGGATGCTTCACAATTATATAAAAAATTTACACTGCACTCCAATGTAGAAGGAAAAAAGGAAAAAATAATAATTTAATTGAACTAAAAAGATGTTAGATTCCCTGTAAATAAGCAAAAACTGCATATCAAAAAATAGTGTGAAACTAAAAAAATATAATCATTTTGGACATTTCATAATTACAGGTATATAGCAAAGTTACGCTATACTCCTGCGTGGCGGGGGGNGGGGGGGGGGGGGGGGAGGGGATTTTGAAGAATCCCCCTAGCCGTAGCTAGTTGTAGACTTGAACCTTTTCCCCTTACCTTAAGCTAGTTAGAAGGGGAAGGGGGAGAGGGGAGGTTAAATAATCCCCCTTTGCCTGCCTGTAGCTAGTTGTAGTCATGAACCTTTTCTGGACCTTTTCAATATTTATCAACAGGAAGAGGAGTTGATATAATAACAGACTGCGTGGGAGGCTCCTACTGGGAAAAGAATGCTAAGAGTCTTGCAAAAGACGGGCGATGGTTGCTGTATGGCTTGTTAGGTGGTGGCAATGTTAACGGTAGTATACTGGCACAGCTAATGAGAAAGAGAGCAACGTTAACTGGTACTACTCTCAGAAGTAGATCAACAGAGGTACAGTATGCATATGTGATATTTCATAAAACGTTGTCGGTCGGTTTTTCTGTTTTCCTGCTAAAGTACGGAAAATTACATTCTACTGCTTCATATTCGCCCCATCGGTAAGGGAATCCGGAATTCCGGATTCCGAGACTTTGGATTCCGGATTCCAAGGGTCTGGATTCCGGATTCCAAAACTTTTGTATTGCGGATTCCGGATTCCATATCGTTAATTTCAGATACTTTCTCTGAAAATTATATTTCATATACTTGCCAGTATAAGTAGAATCGTCTATCAATTAAATCAGCATCTGATGACAGATATTCTTGGTCGAGATATTACACAGTGGGGGAGGGGCTACATCGGTTTAGTCTAGGTCGAGGCGATAGCATTTGAGTGTATACTTTGAATTTCAAAGTAGCGGATTCCGGATTCCAAGGCCTAAAATTTCGTGGATTTCGGATTCCGGATTTCCTTACATGGGGCGATTCATATTCTATTCTAAAAGGAAACTACGTTGTTAGGCTCTTTTACTCCGACGAAGGACTAGCGTCCGAAACGTCAGTAAGTTTTTTCATCTTTTCACGGTGTATAATTTACCTTTTCATCATTACTGCATAATAGGTACCTTAACTAAGCTGTAGGACGGCGGGCGACAACGTCGGCAAGATTGAGGCGCTAAACCTTCTTTTGCACGATTATTTCATTTTTATTTAGTATTTTACTCAATAAGCATCCCCATTGTAGAGTGAAATGACGTGTTTTGAGAGCGCTTTACTCTTATAATAAGGATCAGCAAAGATAAGCTTTTGGCGTACCGTTCACTTATTAGTATAAGAAATCGCACGATCTCGAGTACAATTTGGAAATTAATAGACACGAGTAATGTTTTGAAAGTTCTT